ATAGTTACTATCTTGTACACTTAAAAAAGGTAAATGCCAAAATTCTTCCTCACAGCACATCATCTTTCACATGAATGTCTTTGCGTTGTTTGTTAACATTTTTTTGTTTCTTGCAACGATACCTCAAGCAACTATTTTCACTTTGATGTCTTTGTTTTCTGATTAATAAAAGTTGTATCGAAAGGAAACAACAACATGCAACAGCTGGAACCTCTTCATGATCTGTGGAATATCAATCATTAAGCTCAGCTTTCACTTATTTACTTTATTGTCTTTTTAATTTCTAGTAAAATAATCGTCTAAGCCTTAGTAAAATCTGATTGGATTTAGCAATCTTTGTTTCTTTTTGTTCATGTGGAACAAAGCTGTAACTTTTTTATTACTGTCATTTATAGTTCAATCTGTCTCCTTTCTGTCTGCCAGATATATACAAAGACGAAGAAAAAAGGCGACTACAGTATTAATTTTAGAAACTGTTAATTCTGTGCTTCCAGTGGTTTCTCTCAGAAAAGCCTGTGACAAAGAACTACATGTTGTTGCATTTCTACTGGCAACCAAATGTGCTGTTTTCGGCAATGGTACTCCTGAAGTATGGATTCCACATTTCATTCTGCAAACAGTTCATTCTGCATGTTTATTTCACAATTAACTTAATTCCCAAAGCTGGTTACACAATGTGTTCTGCATTTGAAATTGAATGGTCATCGCAGGGCTTCTTTAAAACATTCTACAAAATAATGTTCTGTGATCTTCAAGCTTCTACAGGTGCAAATGGGACCTCGATTGATACTATATGTCAAACATCCATATCACATCCATTTGTGTGTTTAGTATATAATCACTCATCAAAAGTGTAAAATCAGTATGAATTTTTTTGTTTTGCTGCTCAACTTTTCAAGTCTTTTGGATACAGTAGCAATTCGCATTGCCGTATCTGGAATACGGCATTAGTATTTTTTCAGGAGTATTTTTTCAGGAGACAAAAAGAGATTGAGGACAAAAGAAATCTGACATCAATTTGTTTCACAACGTCATAGGAGGTGATGGACTGCTGGCGAGATTCAGGAGGCCATTTCTAATCTTTGTCAACATTAAACCTGTTAGCTGGATGACAGAATCTTTCTTGTCTTACATCATTCCTGTCTGGCTTAGGGACTGAAAGACGCAAGGATAAAATAAATTATGTACAAGCCTAGGCAAGAAGCAGAGAAGCTTACTATTTAACAAGTGCAGTTATGATGGACTGATTTGTTAAGAAGTGGAGCAACAAGCTGCACACAATATGAAGCAGCCAAGGGGATGTCAGCTGGTATTCGGAGGTTCTGTCAGATTCAATCTGCCAGGAGAGCTTGGGCAGAGATGTGGAGCTCATAGCCACTGTCAGCACCACCTCCTGTCTGTCCAGATAGTGAACTTCAACTGCCTTTTCAATAATTTAACAACTGTTTTTGGCACTTATCACGTAAGGAGGCTGTTGTATTATTTCTTATGGCCATGATATCAATACAGTGATTAGAAAAAATAGATATTCCTCATTTGTCTGAATCTTACCATCCCCACACACCCTGCAGATTTTTTCCTTTGCTCAGGTAATGACACATAATTCATGGAATACCCCAGATACCATGAATTATGGAGAAAAACAGGCATTTTTAAAATCTGAAAATTTCTAAAAGTCCTATGTTGATTGATTGATCGATCGTTTGGTAATATTTATACACCACATAAATCTTCCTGTTTTACATGTGTATTTGTGTGCAAATTCTGTATTTACCATTACAATTTTACAACTCCACCTTTTGTTTTAATTTTTCTGAAACTCTGAACTGTGTTGGACTAATGAAACACATTTGTTTGATATTTGTAATATTTGTTTTCTAGAGAGCTCATCTCATGAGATGTTGTTAGAGCCCATGAAATTACAGCTGGTTTGTAGACTTTCTAATACAAAAGCAAACACAAAAAATACTAAGTACTGTACGTCCTTAGTAGTATCAGAGAACTCTGCCACCTTGTGGTATCATTTCATATCAGGCAAACCCATGCACAAAGATCTTACAAAGCGTGAAGTGTCAGAGAAACATGCAGAAAGATGATCAGTTGATGGTTCAAATATACTGTAGTAACATCACACACATAAAAATTGCTGTCAGTGCTTTCTTCCACAAAGGTGATGGCATTTTTTTATGCATGATGTGATATTAAAAATATTTTTGCAATAATTAAGCAACTGGGAAGGTAAATATACAGTATAATATAGTTATCCTCACACCTGAAGAAGGCTCCACGGCCGAAACGTTGTGTTCTCTTTCTTCTTTTTTTCAGCATGGAATAAACCTATTACTTGTTCCTTTACAGTATAATATACTGTATATATTTTTGCCGATGTCATATCGTCCAAGATTGTAAGACCCAAGTTCCATGATTGTCAAATCATGTACCATACTGTGTATAACTTACATAAATCTGTGTCCTTTGTTAAAAAACAGAAGGAAATGACTGTATGGATCAGTGATATTCAATTCTGGTCCTGGGTAACTTCAGTCCACCACATTTTATGGATACCTTTTAATCCTCCATGACGAAAGACCTGGAAATATTGGTCATAATGAAAAATTAGATCACATATTGCTATAAATTGAGTCATTAGGAGTCCAGTGAATGGAAACGAGACAACATGATTTTCTCCTGGACCAGGAGTGAATTGCAGGGGTATAGATACATCCTAAAATTCACAATACATTGACCTATTGTCAGAAAAGAACTAACAATCTTTACCAAACAAGGTTTACCAAAAGTGGCAGAAACCCTTTTGTAATTTGCTGAGCAATTGTTGGATATCATCGATATCATGAAGTACAAAATGATCGTAATCTCCATATTTTATTTTTGCTGTTCAGATGCTGTCTGTATGTTGTCGAGAGAGCAGGGGTATTGCCAAGGCCATTACTTACTGTGGTACTACAATTCAGCCAAGAGGAAATGCAAGACCTTTTATTTCACTGGATGTGGAGGCAATGGCAATCGGTTTATTACACAGCAGCAATGCAACAGCACCTGTGCAGGATACATAGGTGAGTATTCTGGCTACAGTGTTGGCTACACCTCAAGAAGGCTCCACAACTGAAACGTGGTGTTTTCCTTCTTCGCTTTTCAGCATGGCCTAAACCTATTACTTGTACCTATTTACTGGAATGACATTGTTTTTGGTTGCTTCTTGTATCGTGGTTTGGTACTACAATTAATTTGTCACATCTTGATTTTTAAGTAACCGGGTTGGAAGACAAGGGACTCTCTTCAAATCACACAAAAGCATTTATTTCGTTGTACAAACTAAACAATGGAATATCCTGTCTAGATTGTGGAACTGTATGAACATTTGTTATATTAAGGATACATTAAGCATACAATTCAGTAGCCACATCTTGTAAATAAAAAATGTTAATCATGATTAGAAATGACAACAATGTACTAATAATGAAAATGACATGAATTTCACTCTACCTGGTATGAAATTGCTTAGAGATTATTAAATCGCCATTACCCACTGTAAAGGTGCAGCAGATTTTTTTCAAACTGTTGTTTTACTGATATTAGACAAAAAGAAGGTACCAGAAACAAAATCAAGAGTTAAGTTTGGTTTTTATCACAGATGGCACACTTGGTAATGACCAAGATGATGATGAAATTACCATTACCAATGGTGTACAAACAGGTAAGTACGATTGTCTTACTTGCATAACTCCTTTCCATGTCGGATTACTTACACAACTATGTCTTGCTTGTTGAATGTTTGCTTGTGTTAATGTATTTTAACTGTGTAATGCACACAAATGGCTCTCCGTTGTGTAGTTTCTCTAGAGTGGGGGTATCTAATCTGTGTCCTGAGAGGCTGGTCTGTGGATCTTCATTCCAGCTCAGCTCCTGACAAGATAAACCAGTTGGTTTACTGGTTTAAGGGCACCACTCTTCTCCCGCCCTGCAGAGCCACCCGTCCCCCTGGACCAGAATTGGACACCCCTGCTCTTTTTACTGCTTACTTCTTCAGCTGCATTATGGCGAAGAATATTTGAAATGATTAATGAGAAACACTTAGGTCTCCTTTCCTCAGGAAATCTCTCAATCATTATGATCTGCTAAATTTGACTTATTACTTGTAAAACCTATCTGGCTGCCTTTTTATATACGCTCTTTACCAGATTTACTTGTCTTGTGAAATAAAGCGATTCAGGGGTATTCGGATAAAATTGTTTACATTAAACAATAGTAGCATTTGCTAAAGAAATACATGTCATACATGAAGTGATTGTTTTTGTGTTTGCAGGGTTAATAGCAGGAATTGTGCTGGGCCTTTTAGGTGCAATACTGCTGATAGTTGTCATTGTTCTGGCTGTAAAGCAAAGCAAGTAAGTGTTTCAGTAGTTTCAGTAGAATAAACTGGTGTATGACGCTCCCTGCACAGCTGAAAGCTTCTGTTTTTTTTTTTAAATCAGGGAGCGTGCAGCAAAGTCTTCATTTCTCTTGATAAAAGACAAGTCTTTTCCAAAAATTAAGCTGATCAATCATAGCTCACTCCTCGGTTTTGAAATTCAAATGAGCAGTCAAACAGCTGGTGTTAATCAAAGTTTGTGATTGCACCACTTGAAAAGTCTGGTCAAAATCCCATGACAGAAACTCTATCTACAATGCATCCTTCTTTAACAACTGGGCCTCCACAAGCAACAACTAATTTACCATCTTCCTTAATGACATTGACAAATTTGATTTGTTGCAGAACTGTTGGATGTAGATGAATAATATGTTATTTGTAGTGTAAATATAGTACTTATACACACATACAGTAAATGGATAACAGCCATATGGGAGAATTGGTTTCTAGGGATCCTGGATTTGGATTTGATTCCAAAGTTGGGCACCTTTCTGTAAACAGTTTTCATATTCTCCCTGTGTTTGAGTGGATTTTAACTACAGTAGATACTCTTGTTTTCTTCCCATCTCCCAGACCAATATAGGTTAATTGGTCCATGCTAAGTTGCCCATCTCATGAGGATCAACACCTGTGCATTGTCATCATTACAGCACACTATCCGTAGTAGCTCAACTGCAACGCTAACGTAACTGGAATAAGGCTCAGATGAAAATTCTGTTTTATGTAATATACAGTAAATCTACACACACCGAGATGACTGTTTGAAGTTATGATTATTAACCATGAAATTTAAATATCTTTTTATAGGAAAATTAAGCAACTTAGATGAGGAAAAAGATTGATCTTGCTTCTAGCTAAAATTGGGATGTGACATCATTCTCCACTGTTTCGTTGCAGGACTGAAGAGAAAAAGGGGACCCACAGGGAAGCTTTAACTGCTAAAGAAGACCTAGAAATGAAATAGGCTTACACAGCCGACAAGTTTAAGAGATTGAAAATATTTCACTTTGTTGGAATGCAGAATGCAGAATGTTGCCAATATTCAAACAGATTAAAATTCATGGCTTGATTTATGTATTTAATTAGTAAGCTAGTCTTAATAATATAATGGTTGATGTTAACTAAATAGGACACTTTTCTGTCATTTACAACAGGACACAAATAGGCCGTATTTGTCTACTTTTTTATTAAGCACATTTTAATAGAAACTGTTAAACAACAGCACTCCACGACTGGTCATCACATCCCGTCACTTATTTTAAGGTCAACTGCTGAACAGCAGGAGCATTTTAGTTTCTACTGATCACAAGGTATCTGCTAGTCATTTAACCCGAAGCAATAAAGCACTGCACCATTTTAAAATAATTTACAATGTTTAGTGCAATTACTGAAAACATCTATTAAAGTGTACATTTTCATTCTAAACCCTGCTAGACCTCTGTTCTATTACTATTAGGATGCTCATTTGTCATTCAGGGTGGAGTGGTGGCTCTGTGGCTGAGGATCTGTGGCTGGAAGGTTGCCGGTTCGTATCCCGCGGCCGGCAGAGGAATCCTACTCCATTGGGCCCCTGAGCAAGGCCCTTAACCCCAGCTGCTCCAGGGGTGCTGTACAATGGCTGACCCTGTGCTCTGACCCCAAGCTTCTCTCTGTCTGTGTGTCTCATGGAGAACAATGCTGGGGTACATGAAAAAGACAAATTCCTAATGCAATAAATTGTATATGGCCAATAAAGTGATCTTATCTTATTTCTTGTAAACTTTCGTTAATTTAGCATAAAGTAATCAAATTATGATTTGGGGGGGGGGGGGTTTATTAAAAAACACTTCTGGTTGAAGCCACTAACAGTAAAAAAGGTTATTGCAGTTAAACGTGGATTGGAATTTTAGAAAAGAAAATCCATCGTAACTGTACAGTATATGTGAGACATACAGCACATTTTGGGATTTCAAATATTTTTACATTTGTTATTACTGGTTTGATGTGTAAGAAAACATTTGTAGAATAAAAATAAAATGATGAAAAACGGTCTTGGCTTCCTTTTTTCCAGTTGAATAACCTTGAAGTCCACCCAAGGTACACATCCATTGTGTTGTGGTAGCTGACAATTGTACCTCCTCTGTCTAAGGGGTGCTAGCTAGCCTTTCTGGGCGTTAAATTCAACCGTGTCACTCAAACGCCACAGTGAAACACCGAAGCATGTGAAGCACTGATATGACTTCGTTGTTATATCTTTTCAAACACATTTCAACCCTGTAGCGTCTGCTTAATCTAGAAAAACAACATATTACCAGAACATATAAAGTCTAAAACATCCGACCACACGTACAGTATTCCTTCCTTTGTTGTACGACATCAGAAAGGCGAGGTTATAACTGCTGCATCTAACAGCAAATAAACGTTTTTTTTCGTATTTTTAAACCAAAAATAACATCAGCAACCCAAATTATCCTTCACCATGGTTCACATCTTCATTCCACTTTGTACAATCATGTGTACGATGTGCATATTTTCTTCCACACTTCGCTTGGAGAAACGGACAATTCCTAGTCTCCCAGTCTTGTTTCTTTCTGTATTCTTCACACCTCCTCCTATCCATTTTTTCTCGCACTTTTCAATACTCTTTAGCTTCACAGAGCTGCACTGCACTCTTATTCAGAGACGCCAAGGGTCCGAAACGCTTTAATTTTCTACCCTACGCGGAATTGGCGATCTGCTACTAAGCAGCTCACTCACTTTAAAAAAAAAACAGGTCGAAAACGGTAGCCTATCCTTGCAGTATCCCAGCTCGACCTGGCCACAGACGAATACGGAGCAACGTTAAGGGGAAGCGTTCTCTTATAACAATATAACAAAACAAATTAAATCGCGAAGTTTCTTTATTCGCTCGTTTTATCGAAAATTAAAACAACAACAACAACAACAACAACTTAAGCGGTGTCACGCAATCCGCCGATTACCCCCAATGTTTAACAAAAGAAATTAAGCCTCCATCGAGATTTTGTTTGCTATGGGATTTTAAAAATGTTGATGTTTTTTGGTGTGTGTGTGTGGTTACAGAAAGTTTACGTTCACGGTCACACACAGCAGATGAGCGACCAGGCCCGCTGGGCCGCACAGCCGGGCGGCCGTTTCCCGGCTGCGCGGCCGCGGTGGATTCGGCGCACACGGACGGGATCCTCTTCCGCCGCGCAGTCTGAAAACGCGGCCTGGGCCCCCCCCCTCGCCGCTCCAGTTCCGGAGCTGGCTCGGCTGCCGTGCTTTGGGCACACAGACACGCTGTAAAAAAGATGGCGGCGGCGTATTATAGTCGGCGAGGGCTTTTATAAATAAAGAAAGAGGCGAGGGGGTGCAAAAAAACCACAACAAAACAACAACAACTCGTGAACTAGAGGACGGGCACGTTGCTGCTGCTGTGAGAGGGACACCACGGGGGGGGGGAAAAATAATCAAGCACTACCGCACGATCCTTAGCTTTTTTTTTTTAACAGCCCGTACTCTCGCTCCCCCCCTCCCCTCCCCTTTTAACGCATTTGTGTAGGTCTTAATGGAGTGTCCGCATCTAAACTCCAGTGTCTGCATCGCCCCGGATTCCTCCCGGTTCCCGAACGGTTCTCCCTCGTCCTGGTGCTGCAGCGGTAAGTCTTGGAGCTCCGACGCCGTGCGGGTTCGGTCCGCACAGGACAGGAAACCCCGCGGGCTCGCCGAGGCCTGTGTTCCGAACAAAACATGCATGCATGCATGTATGTGACAGACTTGTAGTTCCTGTGCTTTCTTGGCTGCTTTGCGGATCGCCCCTGCTGAGCCTTCGCGGTGAATGGCACAGGCAGATGGTTGACATCTTCTTGTCGTTTTGTCGTTGGCCAGGTAGTCACCGCGGATGTAATGGCACACGAGTTAGCCCCGTAACAACTTTTTGTTATTTTGTTCAGTCTGCTAAATCTCCTGCTGCTTGTAAGCAAATTGGGGGGGCTGCAGGAAATATTGTGGGCGAAATCTACAGTTTCCAAGGGGGGTGCAGTTTTCTGCTGAAACTGTGGACATGCCCGATTTCTTGTTGCCATCAAAGAGCAGATGGGGAACAAGAAGATGATAAATGGTGAATCAACGTGGACTTAAATCCGTTTTTTTTGGTGGTGGTGCTGAGGTCTGCACATGCACTTTGGTGGCAGTACTGGCTGTGCAGCTGAAGAAACATTTCGTGACCATAAACTGAAGTAAAATTGCGGGATCGTTTTTAACATCCTTTGAACAGCTTAGTTTTTCTCAGATCTTGATGTAATCAAGAGTGTTTCATTTTCACGTCTACAGTATGCATAATAAGAAAATAACTTATATTTTCCTCCATTTTTTACAACTTCTCCAAAGCAGGATGTTGACACTAAAAATGTCACCCCTGCCTGCTTGTTTTTGGCTCAAGGCATGTTGAATATCTTTTAATTAAAGGAAAATAGCCTGTCTGGTTTTAGACTTTTGTTTTTAAAATGTAGTTAAAGTCTAAGAACTGCCTTGTATTTAAGAATCTACAGGCACATTCCAAATAATCTGATCTTTGTATAACTGTTGAGTCTGAGACATTGCATTTTCTTTCAAAGAAATGTCAAAAGCAAACCCCAGAATGCAATTATTTTCTAGGTACTGTAGCCTTATAAGAAAGGACAGTACCAGTAAGCTTGCTCATGTATCCTTTGAGCTTCTTAAATACTATTGGAAGCACCACATATCTGGTGGTTACACAGGGAACATACTTACGTCATAGTGTTTAGAATTGAAAGTGCTGTTATGTTGAGTGCTGTTAGTCCAATCAGACAGATTTGATTAGGGGCTTGTGAGTGTACAGCAGGAAGGAAATGATTTCTTGGACAAACATAAGATAACCTGTTTTTTATGCTAACTTTATTCTTGTGAAACAACTCTCTCAACCAAACACAACACTCAGAGAATGATTGATTAATATCGGTAATAGGTGGGAATAGAAGAAAATTTCAGGTTCCTCTGACAAGAGTGAGACATGTTGTAATATTAATATCATGGATGAAACTTGCTTCCACTGTGATTTGTCTCGTTGGTCTCCACTAGTTGTAAGAGTGAGCCCTATAATGAAACGTTTGCCACCCCTTTTGTGATATGAGATATAATCCGATGGCCCCTAAATTTGTGTACATGGACAGGAAATAGTTTATAAATTACAATGTCATCTTTCCCTTGTGAAATCTAAACTGTATGCTGTTGTACAGGATGTGGACAGGTCATGAAAACATGCCAAGCACGTTAAAAGCAAGAGTTTCCACACAGGTGTGGCTCATGCATTTATTAACCAAAAAAGCATCCCAGCATCCTTAGGGTCAGGTATGAAAATGCTGGTTCCTCTGAAATATGGTGGGCACGGCTACAAGAGAAAGACCTCTGGGACTTTAAAACAGGAAGAAGGGGCATGTGGCAGGCGTTTCAACTTGTTCAAGTTCGACCAAAATGGCTCAACTTGCTGCTTTTTCACGAGCAGCAGTGACTAAGCAGATGTCAGCAGGGAAGGACATCATCAACAAAGGGCAACAGTGGGTGGAAGAGTATACTCTAGGATTGTGATCGCTGTGCTTTAGTTCAAAGAACAAGGCAATACAGGTGAGGAGCTACAGATCAGATGGTTGGAAATTTCAGTCTGGGGTGTACACAGCCAGTTAAAGCAATACGAGTCTGCGAAGAACCCCACAGAGTGGGGTACCATAGTTGCATTGCATTGCAGTGCAAGTGGTCATCATACCTGGCAGTGCAAGTAGCTCTCCATAGCCCTGATTGCTTGTTCCCAAAAGTGAAGGGCTCTGTTGGCTCTGTAATGTTGTGAGGTCATTTTCCTGGCATGCCTTGGGTGCACCCATTCCCTTACAAAGCAAGGTCAATGCCAATGGCTTCTAAATGGTACCCAGGGATCATCTTCACTCTGTGTTGCAGCATTTCTGTCCTGCTGGGAGGGGTGTCTTCCAGGGTGAGCATGACGTTGATGTTCTCCATATATTATGGTCTTCTTGGTCTCTGACTCGGAACCTAATCGAGCATTTTTGGAATATCTGGGATATTTTTGGGAGCATTTTCCACCTCTGTTGACGTGTGTTGACATTCTCGTGGGCAAATGGAAACTCGTCCCTCCTCTAGAATTCCCGACGCTGGGAGACTTATTTCATGGCACATACTGGCTGCCCACGGTGGAGCTGTGCTTTATTAAGTGACTGAATGTTGCTTTTTCCATTGTTTTTATGTCCACTACCTGTAATTCCTCAGTGAATATCTGGTGTTATCTTGCGTTCCTGGAAAATTAAAGTGGAGTGTTATGCTGTTGATTGTGTTTCTGGAGTCAAATGGCTTTCTTGATTAGACTGCAACAGCTGAACAGATTGTTCAGTGCATTGACGTCAGTACTCCCTCTCTGTCTCACACACACCTAACATCCAGTACAGGAACTACACATTTTTGTAAAGCAGAGAAAACATAGCTATATGCTGAACTTTGTTTTAAAGTGAAGCTAATAAAAGCTTTTGTTTCTGAGGGCTTCAGGAAAGGAATCGCTTGCTGCAGAGTGTAGATCTGTCTCTTTCTCAGCAGTCTGCCTAGAGCTTGTGCCTTCAGCTTTGTCATGAGTTTGGGTTTGGTGTCTGGCTGAATGTGCTTTTGGCTTTGTGTACTGTAGCTGGTAAGCACTGATTCCTGTCAGGCAAACGAGTGGGCAGGGCGGAGTCCTGCAGAGGTGGCTATGAGTCAAATTTGGCAAGAGATTTAACCTAAAGAATTCTCGCCTTCAGATTACTGTTCTGTTTTTTAATGTTTCAGCGCATATGTTGTATTTGCTTCCCTGTCCATAAAGAGTATTTGATGGAAACCTATTAATAATTAATGAACAAAACAGTTGAAGACGGTGGCATTGTTTCTCACGGTTCTTTGTTCACCCCAGGTCTGAGTTAGCTTGCCGGATTTTATGGGTTTTGCACGTAAAACTCCAAACGTTTCTGTAATTTAAATGTACAAAAGTAAATATTTATATTTTTTACAGTGGTTTTTCTGCACAGCAGGCTGCTTTTGTTCCCTTAACGTCTTTTTTTTTTCTCTAAATTTGCTCCTTAGCAGATACAATGTGCTATGCATGCCAGTTTTATTCTCTTGCTTTGTTCGTAGAGAAAAGATGTGGTTTAAAATATGCATAGCATGCTGAGCAGGACACTGGGTATGTGGCCACATCCTCAGTAGAGAATGCTTCAGTATATTTATTGAAGCAGAAGCCTAGTCGAAAATCTGGCTTGCTGACCTTTTGGTCTCGGGGTGAAGGCAACAATGCTTAGCCACAGCCCAGGCAAATGCTGTCGGACAAAAGCCGAACCACATCCTTGCAGCTGCATCCTTAATTAACTTATTTCATCGGAGCCTGACGAGCTGATTGATGAATGTAGATAGCGGTCCTTATTTGTTTTCTGAGGAACCTAAAATGGATTGGAGGTGGGGGAATCAGAGTGCGTGTATTTGACCAAATCTTTTGCCAGCTCGTGCTCAAAGAAAAGGGAAAGGTGAGGAATGCGATGGACAGCTATGTGGTCTGTCAGGCGACTGAGGGCTTGTTTGCACGCCCTGTCCACTCCTGATGTTTCCAGTGAAGTCATTACACTGCGTTTACACTTTGGCCTAATCCAGCACTGAATTCTCCCTGAGTTATGGTAGTTTTCAGTTTCTTCTTGGGTTACGTTATCATGAGGGATATAATGTGGTATTGATTTTTTTTTCTTTTTCTAGCCCGATTTTTTTTTTCTGACGTTTCAGTGAATCCCCTGACCACACTGTGCATCTGCACAAAATGGGGCTTCTGTATTCCTAAACTGAATGTATGCGCTGTAAACTTTGAAATGGATGGGCTATAAGCTCTAGGGTGCCATGACCCTCAGCGAGAATAAGCCTCTTTCTTATATTAACTGTCATTTTTGTATCAGTTGCTAGAAAATATTCTTTTTCTCTGACTGAAGTATTGTCAGATAAACTTGGCCTTAGAGCATCTTATTTTTGACTATGGTTTAATACACAAAAAATGCATATTATATGAAATAATAGGTCATTTCTTTTGACATTTGAACTTTTTTCTTCTAATAAACACACAAGTATTCATCTGGTAAATGTCTATTTTTGTGCAATGGTCATATAAAAATGCAGTTCTCATCTGAACATATTTGGTGGCACTTTTGAAAACAGTGCTTTATTGGTGTTAGTTTTAACAGCATTAATTAACAGTTTCAATATGAAATATCTCAACTGATGTCCAGGGAAGAGTACAGTTAAAAAAAACTGTTTAATTATAATATAGAGATGTTTACTGCTCGTAAATCAGATTAGGTTTGTACAGGGCTCTGAATGGCAATAAAATAATTGAAAATCTATTAAAATTTGTTAAATGGCAGCATACAAAAAGCAAAAAAACAGCATTAAAAAATCAAATCTGCCGTGAGGGCTTTGTTACTACCTTATAGCCTAGTCTCACCAGCTCTGAGCAGCTCAGCAAGGTTGGGCTTGTTTGATACTGGAAAAGGGACACATTAAGAAAAAACATGTTCCTTCTGGCAGTTTTCACTTCTTCATTCTGAACTCGGTGTCTTGAGAGGGTGCTATAGGAGGTCCAGACGTTTGGATGAGATGTTAACAGAGATCCTGTGTGTAATGGCGGGTGGGTATTGTATTATAGTGAAGCACTGTGAGATGAAAGAGCTGTACAAATGCAAGCATTTAATATAAATTGCTTTTCCAGTGGTAAGTGTCTCTGTAAAGCAAATCCTTTGTGCTTTCTTTTATTTTTTCCTTTGTTCAAATGTTTGTTCCCATTTTGAAAGCAGGTAAGGACAGATCTTCTTATATTGACTTTTCCCCTGATGTTGACACAGTAATAAAAAGAAATTGCTGGGCTCTCTCACATATTGACTGTTTCTTAGCAACAGTTATTTCTGATGCTTGTCGTGTGCACTGAGAAATGGTGATCTCAATTAGCACAGGGCTCGTTCACCTTTGAAACCATCAAGTGATTAGAAGAAATACTGCAGATTCAGTCGTGGGTGTGGAACTGTTAAACTCAAGATGTGGACTGTTGTTTTTACTGGTGTTCATAATGCACTAAATACAAGTTACCAACTAGCCAGCTTATCTTCAGTCATCCTGGTGGAACTGATTATTGCATCCAAGGGGAGTGTTAGTGTGGTCTTAACAGTCCTTGCTTTGTGTTTTTGTTTAGCGTGTAGTCTCTCAGTGAATTTAAATCGGAACGTCTGCAAGCTAATCTCCGTCTATTGCTGAAGCTGTGTCAAGCAGCACACAGATCGCAGTTGTGCTGCAGTCTTGAGTGTATCAGGTTTTTTCCTCTCTAGACTGTGTTCCATTTGAAAACATCAAGCACATTGCAGTTGGTGTTTGCCCTGCCTTTTCCACCTCCACAGACTTTCCACTTGATTTAGTGCTCGCTAATCTTAGACAGGTTTGTGCATTATTCATTTGGATGCCCTGCATCATCTTAGCAAGAAATGTCTCAGAGCTGTTCATTATGAGTTACTGAAAACATTCACTTTTTGTGATTTTAGTTGTCCAGTTTTTTTCTTTTCTATATTATATGCAAAGACATCAAGGTAAAGTGTGAGACAATAGTTCCGTCTTTGTGTATGTAGGTAAATTTAATGAAAATTGTTAAATTTTCATTAATTGTATAACCTGAGAAGTGAAGAAAATGATTTTGCTGATTTACTTTTCAGAAAGCATGAGGTTTAGAAAAACCCTTTTCACATAAACATACTGAAAGATCATTTCTAAGAAGGGTGTTTATTTAAAGGTCTGGACATCAACCATGTTTTTCGTAGATTTTAAATGTAAGGCATTAAGGTACACAAACTTCTGTGTAGTCAGGTAAATCTGAAATAATGTAATGTGTAGTCCCCAAAAGCTTTGAAGAATTTTTCACTCATTTTATTTTTAAATCGTATAGTTGTTTTACACCACCTCCAATTTTTTTTTTTTTTTTATTTTCCGTTAATATTGCAAGTGATCTAAAAGAACAGTAGTTCCCTCTGCCACATACACTGTTATGTATAGAATGCTTAACCTTATTGTAATAACCTTTCAACAGAAATGGCATTTGTGTGGTGACTGAATTTTTCAATCGGTTACCCAGCTGCTACAGCTTTGGGATCTGTTCAGTATTCGGCGACAGTATCTTTTGTGAAGTGCAGCTCATTGCATCATATTCTGTTTTCCAGTTTGTCGCTCAAACAAAAGCCCTTGGGTGTGTCTGACCTGCTCCAGTGTGCATTGCGGAAGGTAAGTGAAAGTGTACAATGGAGACACACAAATGTGACTGTCTTGATCATGTTGGGAGATTTGGAGGAGATTCAGCCTCTGATGTCAATAGGATCGTTTTTGTTTGTTTGGGTTCTGAGAATGTTATGTTTTGTTATGGCGGTCTAACCTCTGAGACGTTGCCCACTTAAGCTGTCTTTAAATTAAACCATGTAAATCAAACCATGTGGAAGGATTAAAATCAAGTGCTCTTAAACCCTGGGAACTAAAAGCAAGTGACTTAAAAAATGTGTTTTGTGTTTCAAGCTTTATTTTTTCTGTTCTTATTGCAAGGTATGTGAATGGCCATGCAAAGAAGCATTTTGAAGATACTCAGAGTCCTGCCAGCAATCACAAAAAATCAGAGAAGCATGATAAGGAGAAGCCACTACATGCTGTGTGCATGGACTGTAGCAGCTACAGCACATACTGGTAAGGGAAAGCTTGGTCTCTGTGCCCTACCTGTATTTTCAGCTCTAACAAAGTGTGACATCAGCTGCCAAGATCTTGAGAGAGGCCTGATGGAAAATTTCAGCATACAGGGTTTATTCTGCACAATATACTAACATTCATCCGAAATGCAGTGCTGCCTCATCTAGCAGTCTCTTATTTCAACACCCAGCAGCATTGGGACAAAACAAGTCATCTAAGTGCATCAGCAGTAGTTGGTTTTTGTTGAATTCACAGGTGATGGCTTTTTCTTTCTAATGCAGTCATGTATGATTAAGACGTAGCTTAGTTAGCTTTACAATTTCATAACTAAGGCAGTGCATTAAATTGAGTGTGGAGAAATCTCAGCTTTTTGCGATTGCACAACAGTGTTAAGACAGTTCAAGGGAAAGAGTAATTAGGAAGTGGGCAAAATGTTTTGTGTAATGTCGGTTTAGAAACAGAAGTATACACTTTGTAACTATTGGCGTTTTAGTTCCTGTAGCTGTAGTTTAAATGCAGAGAAGGGGAAAGGAATGTGTCAGACGTCATTGGTTTATTGAAACCCTTTTGTTTGTCCTCATCTTCTCCTCTCCTTTGTCCTCAACATGGTTTTTCCTGTTTTTTTTTGTGGGCTATCTTCTCTGTCTTAACCACAGCAGCTGCAAAAAAACACACCAGGCTGCTGATTTTTGCCAGGTGCCATTACAGTTGATCCCCTCTTGATCTTTAGCTCTCCAGAAGTTGGCATGCATTTTGTAGGATTAGAGAAGTCCTTAACCAGTTCTTTAGCAGGGCACACAGGTATTCAGAGGACTCTGAAAATGCAGGATAGTTTCTCATTGACATGCTCTTTACCCATTGCAAAAGTGTACATGTGTCAGTGATCGGTGTTCATTTGGGTACCTTTTTGCCCTTATTTGTGACTGCTGTACTGTGGAATGTTAATTGCAGTTGTGGCATTTTTCTAAGTGAATACAGCAAGGGTGGGTCGGGAGTGGTAGATTATGACACAGTAAATTGTGATTGAGTGAAGAGAATTTTATCTTTGCAAAACAAATGGTATTTAGTAACTTGGCCTTGCAGTTGGGTTTTGGGCCTATATCTTCTGTGCGAATCTAACTTTGCTCTTTTGGTGGAAATCTAACTTTAAAATTTTAATGGTGTAAAACCATTAGAGTTAATATAATAGTATGATTTTGTACACAAAAATTTAAAGCTAAAATTAATTTATTTACAGTTCACTATAGTTGCCTTTAAGAGCAGCAGAAGACAGAAACCATGCTGCAAGAAAAAGTTTTTTGTCTTGAATGTTTCTATCATATATCTAAAATAAGACACAAGTAATAGGTTTATTCCATGCCGAATAAATTCCAGTCAACCTGACTTAACACCTGAAGAAGGCTTAATGGCCGAAACGTTGTTTTTCTTTCTCCCTTTTTTTCAGCATGGAATAAACCTATTACTTGTTCCTTTGCAGCCTACGCATGCTGACGCAGCTCCCCACCTGAACTTCTAAAATAAGACGATGCATATAAATATGAATAACCAATACAGATCCATTGTTTCAGCTACAGATGTGATGATTTTGTTGTGAATGACAACAAGCTGGGCATGGTGCAGAAAGTGAGAGAACATCTTCAGAATCTGGAGAAGTGAGTATGAATAAGACTGAGAACCTACACTACACTGTACCTGTGTTGCAGACACAGCTTTCAAGGCAGGATGTTAAGAATACAATTGAAGCTCCTGTAAGCAACATGCCAGTTGAAGTAAAAAACAATTCTGCCTTAATACTTACATTCCATATTAACAGTATTTATTTGATTTTAACTTTTTTAATAGCCTTGCACAAAATATGCCCTTCTGCTTCATCATATATGCAATACATACAGTATATATCTTTATGAATCAAACTCAGATTTTCGCCAAGCATGCTGTATATTCTCAACAGAATTTCTCATCATTATTGATTTATTCACAAACACATAAATAAGATAAGTTATTAGTTAATTTAGGTAGGCCTAATGATTCAGCATCACAGGTTTTTTTTATAGTTGATTATTATAACCTGATAGGTTCTTAGATGATTCTTTTCTGTAATTTTTTGGCTCCAGTCTTCAATGCTGGATACTGATGGACTTTAAAGACTTGGAAGACAAGAAGAATGTAATAAACAATTAAGGCTAAGTGAGAGATTTGCTTATAATAAGAAAATGTTTCTATGAATTGCACATAATACACATGGGTATCTAGCAGCTCTTATGTGATATGAAGTAGCTTTTCTTACGTCTGATTTATTGTACCGTTAATGATAATCCTTACACTTACATAGCACTTTTTCTGAACACTTCACTCAAAGGGCTTTACAGGTAATGGGGATCCCCTCCACCACTACTAATGTGCAGCCCCACCTGAATAATGCAACAGCAGCCAAAGTGCACCAGTACATTCACCACACACCAGCTATCAGTGGGGAGGAGAAGAGAGTAGTTAAGACAGTTCATAGATGGGGATTAGTAGGAAGCTGTGGTTTGTAAGGATCAAGGTGAGATTTGATCAGGACATTGGGGTAACACCCTTATTCTTTACAAGAAAAATCCTGGGATTTTTTTAATGACCACAGGGACTCAGGACCTCGGTTTTAGTCTCATCCGAAGGATGGCACCTTTTTTACAGCATAGTGTTCCTGTCACTGTACTGGGGCATTAGGACCTACATGGACAATGGGGTGAGTGTGCCCTGCTGGTCCCACTAACACCTCTTCCAGCAGCAGCCTTAGCTTTCCCAGGAGTCTCCCATCCAGGTACTGGCCAGGCTCACACCTGCTAAACTTCAGTGTGCTGCACGGTGATATAGCTGATGGCTATACCTGTATCTTTATTATAATATTGAAGCAATGAATGAACATGGTTTATTTTTGTATTCTGGGTATTGAATACCTCCTCAGTATTTCTTAAATATCTTGCGTGTCCAGACATGCATGCAGTATGTGTTAATTCCTCTGGCTAAGGCAACTTCATTGATAAGTCGGCTTGATGGAAAATAAATCGATTCAAGAGAGACTTCAATCATGTAGTGTACTTTAGAAAACACCGAAGAGGACAGAGCACACTGAAGCTCAAACAGTCTGATAAGGATTTTTTCCTTTCTAAGTATTCAATAGTTTTAATAAATGGTTGTACACCCACAGGAACCAGAACAGCATGTTCTGTTTTGAGTATGTAGGTTATGATGATGATTTAAAAATGGAAACGCACTTCCCTATTCTCTATTAGAAAGAAAGCATAGCATTGTTTGATATAAAGCCTTTCTAAAAGTTTTTAATATTCTTTCTGTGCATTTATTATTCACACTTTTCCTATATAAAAGCCCAAATAGAATAATGATTTTAAGGCACTTAGGATATGTATTTCATTGGCCCATTTCTGTTTTTCATTTTATTTTAGATAATGTTACCCAATCACTTGGCTTGTCCATGTCCATTGTCGCATTGCCATTGATAGGTTTCATCGCCAAAAACAAATGACCACTTCATCTCATCGTCTGTTCAAACTTTCGTAGTAGATGCAGTTTCCTTTTATCAGTTTTCTGAATAACATGCAGTTTTTCACAACCCTGCTGGCTGGGGTTCTTTTTAGGGTGGTGGGGTTAGAGTTATCGGCAGCAGTGAGACACAAGTGCACGAGGAGCAGGATTTCACTCTTTATTCTCTTCTACAGCTCAGCCTTTGCTGTGGATAGACATAGGAAGCGGAAACTGTTAGAATGCTCATCTCTCAACAGTAAGCTGTTCAAAGACAATGTGAGTACCATTTAAATATGCCATGAATATTTTAAATATTAAATATTTCCTGAAGACTAAGTCATCTAAAGTCATAATAGGCAGCAGTGTGTCGCTGTAGCAAGGGTTGAAATTTTATCTCGGGCTCTAGTGTTGTGAACCTCGGGTTAGCACTGCTCTGGTAAAATGCTCTGTTGTATAAATGGGTACAAATTCAAGTCGCTTTGGGTAGAAGAATCAGCCGGATATTATAAGTCATAATAGTATACAATTATATTATATTGTGAGATGGTTGTTTTTTAAAAAGTGCCCTTTCTTTTCACATTTCTCAGTGAAAGGCAAGAAATAGCACCGTTCATTCAACGGACTTGGTGAAAATGTTTCATTTTCCTACATCTTCCTGTCTTTAAAGGGCTGTTTGTCTCTTTAAAGGGTGGTGCCTCTGCTCTTTGTGCAACAGGCCTTCGCAATCTGGGAAATACATGTTTCATGAATGCCATTCTACAGTCCCTCAGGTAACTAATCAGCCAGTGTGGGGCTGATCCGCTGCAGTGTCCTTGGTCACTGAGGTGTGGGAGGCTGGCAGTGTCTGGAAAGCCCAGTGATTTTAATCTCTGTTCTGAACTCAGCTCTCTGCGCCTGAGCCTCGGTGGCAACTGTGCCTGATGACCCTTACTTAGTTATTCATCTGTGGAGTGCTGCGATCATTTTAAATTAGCAGTTGGGCCATCGGTATAAATTGAAAAAAGAACATTAGTTGAAACTGAAATAATGACAGTTTTACGATAACGGTTTTCTGTTCCACAAAAACAAAGATTAAAAACCCAGAGTTCTTAACTGTTTAGTTGCTGGACCAGGTTCATATAAAGTTGTTGATCACTAGCATTTTCAAAGTGACTTGGTTTTAATTTAGAAAGTATAAGGGGTTTTTACACCTCCAAAAGGTAGATTCAAGACTGTCAGTGAAAAGGCAAATGCTCAGGCCAACTTCTTTTCACTTTCCTTTCACGTTCCTTTTTGAAGGGGGGTAGTTTTCAAACCTTGGCAATATCATTGAGTTGTATACTACCCGGCCCTGCTTGATGTACAACCTTTACTAGTATTTGTGCTTGCAGTAAAGTGTACTTTTATCGGTGTAAACTTATCACAAGTGCTATACGTTCACTTTCTGTTTCTCTTTCAGTAATATTCAACAGTTCTGCTGCTATTTCAAGGAGCTTCCTGCAGTGGAGTTGCGCAGTGGTAAAACTGCAGGAAGAAGAATGTACCATACAAGGAGTCAGGGGGACACCAGTGTGTAAGGTCCTATTCATTTTCCTGAAGTGGAGGTAGTGGGGGCTTTATTTGGTTCATAATTCAAATCCCAGCTTTGCAATATTAGTTTCAGGGTAGGCAGCTTGTTCTTAAAACTGCCACAGCTAAACTTTTGAGTATTCATGACATTTTATTTGATGATGTATAAAGCCTAGGACAAATATATTATGCATCTAAAAAAAGTTTAATTTAAAAGTTAGCAGGGCCTGGTTTTGCAAGAAACATATATAAGGTTTGCTGCTGACTTTCCAATCCTCTGGTTTAAATACAGCTGAATATGCATGGCCCTAGTAAAAACATTCTTCAAGTTAGTGGTGTTCAGAGGACAAACTTCAAGCCTTACTGCTTGAATCTCTGGTTGTGTGGGAGAGTTACCACCACCGCACAGCAACAGATTCAGCTATCCCTCACCCGGAAAGCCACTTATTCTTGGCCAGTCTATTGCAGGGCGTATGTGGGTACAATTCAGAGACCCCAAATAATTAAGCCATGTATTTGAAAGATTCCCAGTGACAGAAACCAGTTGCACTGCACCAGTTAAACTTAACACATAAGGAGCCCTTGCCTGAAGGTGACCCCAGGACCCAAGAGCTATTTGGGAGTCATGTTAAAGGCTATGCCCCAGTGCTTCATTTCTGATTATATTTAGTGATAGATAGAACTAAATGCTGCAACAAGTTCACAAAGTTAATTTCAGGAAATGGCTTTTTTGCAACAGCTGCATTAACAGTCAAACTTGCGAGACGTAGGAAAATGTAGTATGCTGCTTAACACTTGTCCTCAGCAGGGAATCTTCTGTGATTTCAAAGGCAGGTTTCTCTGGTCTGTGCGAGGCTGCACTTAGGCAGCACACTACCGCTCTTCTGTGGTGTTCATAGCCAACAGTGACTTCACGAATCTTTGCAGTGAATCTTGGTCTCTCAGGGACAGGCTGAAAACGATGGGTTTGAACACCTTGCCAAGACCAGTATGCCCTCATGCTCCATCTTTGTGCTTGTTTCTGCATGGCGAGTTCCATTGCAGAAGAAACAGCAGGTCAGAACAGCGGTTCAGCTGTGTGGAGGCGCCTAAATGGTCATCTTTGAAGGTCAGACATGCTGAACAATAAGCTTATTGTTATATACAATATTTACAGTAGCCCAAAGAGCAAAGAAGTCCTAGTGTCACGGTCTGACTTGGAGTGACTAGTTTCTACAGACGCTTTATGTTGATTAAGTCCTGGGACTTCACTTGCTGCCCTTTCTGCAGGCTCTTCCTGGCGTGACATTACAGACACAGCTCACATTTTCTTCATCTGACAGTGGAACAGAATCCCACAAGAAGGCATGTGCAACCTATTGCAAAGCATGCATTGCATAAGTACAGCTATATTACTTGCAACATGCTCTGATAACTTTTGACTGTCACTATAGCTGACTGTGTACCTTTTGCAAAAAAGGTTTTGGCATTTCTTGTTGATAACATTATGAATTTGTTGCAGTAATGACTTTAAGTGTTCAGAATGTAAGCTCTATTTATATTAGCTTGTTAGAGTGGAATTTCCCTGCTTGACGTTATCACAAAACAATAGTTCAGTTCATGAAATAGTGTATTTGAAATTTGTTTGCCCGGCTTTGCTGAGCAGTGAATGAATTTCATTCAGCTGTCTGTCAAGAATGAATGTCATGGCAATGAATTGCATTTATGTTCTCTGATCATTGAAGCAGCTCCCTTGTGGAAGAGTTTCGGAAGACACTTTGTTCATTGTGGCAGGGAAGTCAAACAGCCTTCAGTCCTGAATCCTTATTCTATGTCATTTGGAAAATCATGCCAAACTTCAGGTAGAGTACTACTCAGAATTGCAGGCTCCACCATTCTTTTCTACTTGTTCTCTGTGCGTGTGGGTTTTCACTTCATTTTTCTTAAACCTATCACCTGTGCTGTTTAACAATTATATTCTTTAAAGCATAAAATACATAAAAAGCTAAATTTTTCCATGTGTTTGAAATGACTTTGCATACTGTTAAGTTATTATGGAAAAGGCTTGGAATCATGGCCTCGGTAGGTTTTCAGTAGGTTTTTCAGGAGAGCAGTGTTTTAACTTGACAAATTTAGGTTTTGGCTTTTAACCGAATGTGAAGTAACTAGACGATGGAGAAGTCTTGTCTTCTTGAGAAGAACTGTGAATCAAACACTGTAATGCAGAAACATTGGGTGGGGCGGTGGCTCTCTGGCTCAGGATCTGCGCCTGTGGCTGGAAGGTTGCCGGTTCGTATCCCGCAGCCGGCAGAGGAATCCTACTCTGTTGGGCCCCTGAGCAAGGCCCTCAACCCCAACTGCTCCAGGGGCGCTGTATAAATGGCTGACCCTGCGCTCTGACCCCAAGCTTCTCCCTATCTGTGTTTCTAATGGAGAGCAAGCTGGGGTATGCAAAAAGACAAATTCCTAATACAAGAAATTGTATATGGCCAATAAAGTGATCTTATAAATGATGGCAAAAAAACGTCTTGTTGCGTTTCCAGGGGATACCAGCAGCAGGATGCCCACGAGTTCATGCGTTATCTGCTGGATCATCTCCACCTGGAACTTCAGGGGGACTGTAATGGAGTGTCCTGTTCCACCATCTCTCAGGATGGGGTCATGCTCTCTGCAGGGGGCAAATGCTGCATGTAAGACGTTGCCTACAGTGTGTGGATTCACTCATGCATGGGGCTCACAGCTTTCAGTGTCCCGCTGGCTTTTCCCCATGTTCCAGTACAGATGCACTTTATAGACCACACGTTTCTTTTTAACAAACGTCTTAAAAAGCATTTAAAATGACCTTAGCCAGGAAATGTGGCCCAGAGTGAACCGATAGTGGTGCTTGCATTTTTGCTGAAAGTGTATAAAAAATGTATACAGAGAGAGACAGAGACTTCAGCAGCCTTTATTGTAACGTAATAGTCTATAAAACGTGGCAAAACGCAACAAGGTAGGGAGTTATCTTGGTCAGACTTGGCTCGATTTAAAGCAGTACCCTGTAGCAAACAAAAGAAAGAAATGAGGGTTTCATTTAGTTGCACTGAGTGTAAAATGATATACGAGTTGAATCCAGCATTGAGTATACCTGTTAGAACGCCCAACAAATGCTTTGACATAGATTCAGAAAGTTCTTTGTTTGCATTCCCTCCAAGGTTTTGAATGTTGTTTTTGTGCAAGCATTGTAGATGTGCGGATATACTGTATGTGCTGACGGAGAAGCAGTGCAGCATCTGCTGTTGTGGTTACACACGTACACCATGCAGAGCGGAAGTGGAGCAAGGGTGCCAGCTGTCCTGACCTTTGAATAACACCGTGTACAAATGTCAGACCAGCAGAAACAAGCGGCACGTGTCTTTTTTCTTTTAGAAATGGGACGTCTACAGTCGTCACGGCAATATTTGGTGGAGTGCTTCAGAATGAGGTGAATTGTTTGATATGTGGGACCGAATCCAGAAAGTTTGATCCATTCCTTGGTAAGTCATGCCTACTTGATCTACACCAGTAGGGTCATGTTTTCTGTCAGTCTTCTGTTATTCATATTTTATTTTCCTTTCAGACCTTTCATTAGATATTCCAAGCCAGTTTCGAAACAAGAGATCAAAGAATCAAGAGAATGGCCCTATTTGCACCTTGCGTGGTAAGGATTACTAGTTCGATAACCATCTTGGAGAAACTGAACATAACTTGCGAGAAGCACTTGAAAAATCAATATTTTGTTCTTTGAAAAGCTTTTCTTAAAATACGCAGGAAAAAACAAGTTGCGTTTTTATTTTTTAACCAAAAAGATCTCTGGGTGTCTGCTGTAACAGTGATATACTGTGATGTTCTTGTTTTAAATGCGGAGAGCTGCTTGTTTCTCACTTAGCCAAGTGTCTTTCTGTGTTCATTTCAGATTGTCTGCGCAGTTTCACTGACCTGGAAGAACTTGACGAAACAGAGCTGTACATGTGCCATAAATGTAAAAAACGCCAGAAGTCCACAAAGAAATTCTGGATTCAAAAGCTGCCAAAGGTCAAGACATAATGCATAAAATGTACCGAAACTGTCACCCTAGAATTTCTGTTTCTTCATATTGGCCCCATTCAAGGAGTTTTCAGAGTGAGACCTTAAAGATAGATTTGGACCATACATGAAACAAAAGTTTCAATACTTTTTTTAAATATGAACTTCAAATATATCGTGAAAACAATGTTGATTTTTGCTTGCTGATAGTCATGGTCTCTGATGAAAATTCATGCGCACTGAAGTATTGGCTGTAATATTCTGATCTTATTTGTTCTCTTGCCACATTACAAGCCTCTTTTTTTATACCTTTGTGAGCATTTCCTAAAAATGAAATACAGTAAATCCTCAATATTTGTGAGCTCCCATTCATAATTTCGCCTGTTAGTGCAAAGGTTTGAGTGAACACTTTTTCTGCTTTCATACAAAATCACTTATTCACAGGCTGTGCAGTAGACGAATACAGGCATCCTTTGCACATCTTCATCTCTCAGATCTCCTTCAGTCTCTAGTAAAGGCAAGGCTTGTTTTACAAAGAGTTAGCATGCTTATGTAGAAGTGTTTTGTGGTTTGTGCTTTAGTTTTTCAGTTTCCTTAAGGACAGCATTAGATGTACATTGTAGATCTAGAATAGTTCAGGTGGGTAGTTGCGTCAGCATGAGTGAACCCCACTCCCGAAGAAGGCTCCACGGCAGAAATGTTGCATTTTCTTTCTTCTCTTTTCAGCATGGAATAAACCGGTTCCATTGTAGATCTACTATAAGAACAGTATATGTTAGGGTTGTGCTGCAAAGTCAAATCAATTATAAATAACAAAAAAACTTTTAACACAGGGTAAGCTGTAATATCATAAGAGTGATCTAATTTGTTTGCATATAAAATAACTTGAATAACTGGGGGGGAAACTTTTTAATTTCCAGTATTCATTCTCATTACAAATACTACCAATAAACCCTCACACTATTTCTGAGATAAAGTTGTATTAAAAACATTCCTATAGACATGCTTGTTTTACAGGCTGCAAAGCTATTCCATATTTTGCCCATAAGGTATAAAGTTCCACATAAGCAACATCACCATTCCTGGAGACTTCCGGGTACCTAACCCTCTCGAATACCATGATTTCTCTGTTTTGGGTCATTCTGAAGAAAACATGATGACACGCCTGTTCCAGGCAGGTGTGATTTAAGGGACACAGTAACAAAGTAATTTTGTTTTAATTAGATTAAACAAGGATAGAGCTAGTGCTACAGCAATTTTTTTTCATTTTACTTCTCATTCATTCCCGAGGTCTGGAAAGTTATCCATGACTATATTCGCCCTACCACAAAGCCGTCTTTGTCATTGTGTGAACACAAATGCTTTGTTGTAATAATTACTGTACTGACCACGTTACAATAATTAAGATGTGTAAAAACTTCAAAGAACACGTGTGTGTATATATTGAGGAAGGCATTGTGAGAAGTCACTCTGAGGATGGCTTCTTCCCTTCAGCTGCGAAGGACACACCCTTCGATGTAGCAAAAAATCATTTCAGAAATGTGAAAAACAAACATGCTTTGTTGTAACAATTTGTAACCTGGGTGTGCAGAATGGCTGGGTTATTTATTAATTATCAAAAAGTGACAGTCACTGCACAGTTGCACAACCATGTGCACATTTAGTCACAGCCTGCAAATTGGTCACAGCTTCCCTTTGGTCTGAATTACCTTCTTTAAACAATCCGCTGGGCCAAAGAGGTGTGCAGTAATGGCGTGATGCTCATTGTATGGTGCCTTTCTCTTCCCTGCCAGCTGGGATTTCTGATGAGCATGAAAATCTTGATTAGGTGTTTGGATATTATCGAGGTGTTCGACTGAATGCTTTTCCTGTCTTGCTTGTTAATTTTATCAGCGAGTACAAATTACACACAAACCACTGATAACAGCAGAAGTACTCTAAGACTACATTCAAAGAGGTCATTGTAACATGGCCCTAATAGATGGTGATGATAGTAGTGTTTTCTTACTTGTGACTGAAATATGCAAGCCTTATTGGTAGTAGTTCCAATAATGCTGCTATCGTATGATGACTTGTAAAGAATTTTATTTAAAAAATAATAACTGCAACTGTTATCAACTGAACCTGCCTCCACACGTGTCAAATTGGTATTTCAGCATGATTGCAGCATGATTCTTTGATAAGACATTTCACCACTTCTCATTACAGCTTTTTCCAGAGTTTATGGGTCAAAAGTGCTAATAAAGTAAAAATAAGGCAAACGCAGTGCATTAAAGCAAACATTTAGCTCGAAGGCTTTGCATTCCTTCTACTGGTGCTTAATCCAAAAATGATAGCTATGATATTTCCTGAATATTTTTTCTTTTCTTCTTAAAAAGAGCTTTGCACCAAAAAAAAGTGTTCGGAGAGGTTTGCCTGTAGTTTTTATTTGTTGTGTATATCTTTAGATCTTAGAAATGTAAGACAAATTGAAAACAAATTTTATTTTTAAATTTTATAGACCTCCATGCTTTCTTTAATGTGCCCAAGATATTGTAGAATAGTTCATGATTGCTTTTTTAATTCCTTTATTAGGTCTTGTGCTTGCATTTGAAAAGATTTCACTGGACAGCGTATCTTCGAAACAAGATAGACACATATGTAGAGTTTCCTCTTCGAGGTCTGGATATGAAATGCTACTTATTGGAGGTGAGCAGCCATTGGCCTGTTTTTATTTCTTGTTTGAATGTGAAATTATTTTCAGCTTGGCTGAATCTGCATTTGTGTTTTCTGATTTCAGCCTGAAAACAGTGGTCCAGACAGCTGCCTTTATGACCTTGCAGCTGTAGTTGTACATCATGGATCTGGGTAAGAATTTAAACACATTTGTATTTAAACTAATATAGCAGAAGGACAACACTGACATCTTGTTTTTTAAAAAAGCTACAAAAATCAGTGGGAGCTGACACTAAAAGTAGTTATAATAATAATTGCTTACACATATACAGCGTTTTTGTGGACACTCCACTCAAAGCTCTTTACAGGTAATGGGGATCCCCTTCACTACCACCAATGTGCAGCCCCACCTGGATGATGCACCAGTACACTCCCCACACACCAGCTCTCAGTGGGGAGGAGAGCAGAGTGATGAAGCCAGTTCAAAGATGGGGATTATTAGCAGGCCATGATTGGTAAGGGCCAATGGGAAATTTGGCCAGGATGCCGGGGTAACACCCTGGGATTTTTAATGACCACAGTGTCAGGACCTCAGTTTTACGTCTCATCTGAAGGACTTTTTACAGTGTAGTGTCCCTGTAACTATACTGGGACATTAGGACCCATATAGATCGGCCCCATTATCAGCTCTTCCAGCAGCAACCTTAGTTTTTAGGAGGTCTCCCATCCAGGTACTGACCAGTCTCACACCTGCTGAGCTTCAGTGGGCAGCCAGTTGTGATGTGCAGGGTGAGTTAAAATGACTGCTGGCTAAAAGTACTAAAAGTAGTTTTGTTTCCTCTAAAAGAACTATTGCATGAGTCTGTGTCACGTCTGAATGTCAGTTAAACAGTTTTCCTAGATCAGTAATTGATTTGTATATTGTATAGATTATTTCTAAGGGCAGTACTCTCTTACTCTGGGTGTTGTATGCTAGCTGTTCATTGAAGTGTTTGAAGATTCAGATACTGTATGTAATCAATTCATAATTATATAGCATTTCTCCAAGGGCGGAATTATCAAGCCTTTAGCAGTTATACCAAGCAGATGCATTGCTGGCCCCTTTTCCATATAATTATTATTATTCAGCTTGAGGATGCAGCTTACACATTCTTATGCTAACTGTTTTATTTTGTCCATTGCTATGGTCTCTGTGAATTGATTTAAAGACCAAGTGAATGATAATTCATAACTAATTACTTCTGGTATTAGGATTTGTATATGTTACAGTCCGAGGTCCTGTATTGAGAACAAATGCGAAGTTGCTGCAGGTTTATCCTATGACCAGCAGGGGGAGATATTTGCTAATGTAATGCAATGGCTGTGAGGCGGTTGTCCTTAACTTCACAGCTGGGAATAGGAAAAACGTGTAGTGTTATCTGCCCCACTGAGGATTTCTTATTTTCCCTGTTTTTTTTTTCTTTTCCTACAGCGTCGGCTCGGGCCATTACACGGCATACGCCACCCACGAGGGGCGCTGGTTTCACTTCAACGACAGCACTGTCACGCTGACGGACGAGGAAACCGTGGTGAAAGCCAAGGCGTACATCCTGTTCTACGTAGAGCGGCAGACCAAGCCTGGCTCTGACACCAAGCTTTAACACCTCCCCTTTCACATGCTGCGTACTGAAGCCTTCAGACATTACGAAACGATTCCAGCTCTCCATCAACACTTGACCCAGGACGTCCTCACCTTCACTCCTCATGCACTTTTCGAGTTGCCATTGTGAATTTTTGAGTTTGTTGTATTAAGTACTAGTATTTTTTAACAGTTGTTTTCTCCGACAACCAGACGATGTCATTGCTGCTTAAATGATTTTGTTTAAACACGATTTTGAGGTAGTGTCATTTTAGTCATGTTTGCCTTTTTTTTTATATAGCTTCGTGTTACATTCCTCTCTTGTTGAGGCACATTTCCATTTGTATTAGATTCCAAAGGTAATCGTTTTCATGTTGGGAGAATGCTTGTCCTTTCTCTTGAAGAAATCAAATGCTATTGAAGAGGAAGGAGACGCTCACAGACATCATGTCGCGATCATTCATTAAATTGCTTTTTTTTAATCTCCGGCATCAAATCCTGTTGGATTTCTGTGAAGAAGTTTTCAGCCTCTTTGACATCCCTGTTCAGTCCTTAAAGAAGTGGTTTGATCCCCTGTGCTCTTATTTTCTTTGACTTGTAACTTTGTTGTTCCTGCTTAGATTTGCCATTCTGACCAGCTGTCCCACCAGACATTGGAGTTGAACCCATTTCTAGGTGCTGCATGTTTTGAACAGGCAGGAGGAAGTCTTGCACGGGTGTTAGTGCACAGTGCTTCCCCATCGGGTTGTTCGAACGTTCCGCAGCGACAATTTGCTTCCCCTTGGTTTATCTCCACAGCGAGCTTTTAAAGAGTCTTTTTCGAAGCAGTTCTTTGAGCAAAGCACGTAACCTAAGCAGAAGCCTTATTAGAGAATCAAACAAAGCATTCGTAATAGGATACTGAACAAATAAGATTTAAAATAACAGATATACCTCTTTAATTCAAGAATTAGTATGTTTTGAAGAGTTAACTTTTTATATTATGCTGCTTTTGGTTTGGCTGCACTGGTGAAAAAGATGTAGTCTTACCAAATTAGAAACGTAACAAAATGCACCTGGAATTAAAGATTCGAGATCTGAGGTCTTTTATTTCATTTCGATGTGTATTGAAATCTGAACCTTAAAAAATGTAATGCAATGTGAAAATTCTTTAGGACCGTATCAGAACCTTTTTTTTTTTTTTGGAGGTTCTTGAATTTTTTTCATAAGTCTAAGTTCTGACTGTATTAGCAACTTGACCTTGTGTTGTTATTAGAATACCTTTAATGTTACTTCATGCTATTATTGAACTGTGTAGGAAACTATACAGTCAAGTGCAAGTTGAACGATTGTGTCTGAAAGTGTGTGATCTTTATTTGTTTTTTTAATGAGTAATAAACGTTGAGAGTACACCAAGGATTTAATTAAAGAAATGCAAATTTATGGATTGTTGATCTCTGGTTATGTGTGATTTAAACTCAACTCGATTGTTCTACTAGAATTGTCTCTTCAGAAGATCCGTACCTGATCATACAGTTTATCCAATAAAAACATGGTGCTTTGCTGTCCATAGTTCAGTTTTTCCCTACAACTGAAATAAATATTTTATTGCAAGTATAAATTCACTATTGAAGAAAATCTATTGAGTTGCTTCTTCCCAAAATAGACGTTGAAGTCAGTGTGCAGTGATATACAGTAAGTTTGAATATGACCTTTTGTTGTGATGGTTCATGCCTACACTGAGCTGTAATACTCATTTTGCTTGTTAAGATAATATCAACTTTAAGGGAACCTTTGAAATACCCTTTGGTAATTCTCCCAAGAGAATGGAGCTGTTTTTTTTAAGAGGTGAATGCTATGTGATGTGGGCTTATTGTACACTTTAACAGTAAAACTTTTGTCTAGGCAATGTGTGGAGTTATCTGCCTGGATAATTTTGTCAGGTTGTGGAGTTTGAAACTGACCAGATCTCAGATTATTGTAATGTTTTGTAAATTGTTCTGCTCTTTTTAGGTTTCCAGAATATCTTTACTTTTCTGTTTTTAAAATGAATGTATTCTTATGGGTTTAGTTGTCACTTGCAATCACAAAACATTTACACTGAGAGTTAAACCGGCAGGAACGTTTGTTTCGCCAGCGTTACTTTTGTACCCACTGGTCAAATTGCGGCTGCATGCTTTTTCCATAGATACAGATCATTTTCGATTTGCATGTTCTTAATGTGTGCATTTATGTTTGTTCTCGCTTTTAACACGCTTTGGCTTGGCATGCAACAGGCAGCTTGCCAGAGCTTCCTAGACCACAGCCAGAAAGCCACTTCTATGACTTGTGCACAGGGATGACTAGAATCACATGGTTGATGCACGGACAGGTGAGTGGTGTTTGTGTCTGTGTCCTTACAGCCACTCTTCACCTCAAGCATGCTAAATAAATTAATAAAAATGTCATTATTGTCTTAGTCTGTACCTAACATTCATATAATCATATAAAATTTCAAATTTAAATCTACATATGTCGAGGACAATAAGATACTATGTGTATAAATCTTTAAAATGTAATTCAATGCAAATAATTTGTCAATAAAATTCTGCATTGTCGTTTTAAAAGGGAAAAAGGATTGTAACCTTTGCATTCAAATGAATTAAAAATCTGCAATTCATAATCTGCTAAAGCTCTACATTTGGAAAAAATTATTTTACTTATGCGACTTTAAAATTAATGTCATTTGGAAGGTTCACTGAAAGTGAAAGGACTGAAAATTGCTGCAAGGTTGATTCGTGTCTGTGGGTACATGACTCATCCATTTTCCACATAATTCACGACACACCCCTAACGGCTTCACTTGTTATATGAAATTGATCAAACTTAACGAATGTGTAGTTCACAAAGAGTTCAGAAATGACTATTAATACAGCTAAATATCTTACGTGAATTCATTTTCACATGGGAGCTTCACTGTAGTCCAGAACGCAGCTCTCCCTGTAAACACATGCTTGTGGGGTTTTAATTTGTGTTTTTGTGTTAAGGAGCATCTTTTAGGAACATATCTGCCTCTTTAAGTTCAGAACTACCTGTACATGAGGCAAGATACAGTGCAAATGAGTGCCATTAAAGATCCACTTTCATTAAAAACAGAATTTTACTCCACGGTGATGCATAAAATGCCAATTCTTAAGAACAGTGTGGTAGTGGATTCATCCATTTTTTTTTAGATAAACTGAAGAGGTTAAACAACGTTGATAGCCAGACATACTGAGCCTTTTGAGGTCACTAATATGGAACTTCTGTTGATAAACAATTGGCAGTAGATCCTTGCTCCCAGAACCAGAACAACCAGTGAGAACCTGTATTTCAGTGTTTGTTTTAGATGGCAATCTATTTTTCAAGCCACTTCGTTCCCATAAAAGAGAGTCCTTATCACTATCTGAGGAACCCACAGTTTCTGCTGTCCTCAAATCAAATGGGAATGATTTTAACAGTACCATCTGTCTGTTGTATCTACTGTGCTATAAATTAATAAATGAAGTGCCATCTGGTTAATCAGATTGTCACTTAATGAACATGTTCTCAAAACTTTCTTTTAAGACTTTGCATGGCTTAACCCTAAAAACAAACTCGGGCTATGAATTGTCTCAGTTGGTGTTCAGTTATTTTTCTATATCATGAAAAGCTGCTGAAAGAGTCCCATCCATCAGTTAATCCATTTTCTAACCACTTTATCCAATTCAGTGGCATGGGGGAAAAGTCCATCCAGGCAAGCAAGGGGCACAAGGCAGGCTGCACTGGGACAGGATTCCAGTCCATCAGAGGGTACACATAAACACACACTCACACCAGGACCAATTTTTCCCAGAAGCCAATTAACCTAACCAGAATGGACTTGTGGGAGGAAGTCAGAGCACCTGGTGAAAACCCACACAAACACGGGGGAGAACATACAAACTCCATGCAGATGGCACCCCAGGGCACACGGGGGACGTGAAAATTTTTTTTTATCTTTGCTAGTTAGGGTTGTTCAAAGAAGCCTCCCGTTATAGGAATTCTTCAGCTGGCACTTTAAGGGGTGGTAACACCCAAAAGGCAGAAGAGATTATGTCTGAAATCACTCCTGTATAGGATTGTGGGTAGGCCGTGTCCTATTGTCTTGAACAGATAGTTACAGTCTGTCTGCTTTCTTTTTCCAAGGCAAAGAAAATGTTATATATTTGTATAAAAATCTAATATAAGTAAGGCTTTATGATATTGTAACCCTTTAGAAAGGAGATTTCTATTTAATTTCTTTTTAAATTAATTACAGGCATAACAATGTCAAAAGTGGTGTAAATGATTGATTATTTTATCTCAGCTGTCCTTCGGTTTCCTAATAATTCTGCAAAATATTTATTTGTAATCTGTTATGACAGAGCATGTTACGGAAAAAAACATGTTATTAACAGTTTAACTGCTTCCAGTTGGTCTGGACAGGAAAAACACAAAACTAGAGTTTCAATAAATCTATTCTTCTGGCTTTGTGTTATATGTAACTTCTGAGAAATGATTTCTCTTGGTGGATTCTCCTTTAGCAGATACTTTAGAAGATAGTATTTCTTTGCTGAGCTATCTTCTTGACAATTCTTCTTGGTATGTTAATTTAACCTCCTGTGGAAGCACTTTCTTTCCCTATAATGGATACAAAGAGTGCTGCACGTGTTATTTTTTTACAGCACAACTGATTTTCTTTTATGTAACGCATGCAGTAATATGTAGATTTCTGGGATGAAAAAAAAGAAGAGCTATACAAAATGTATAAAATTATATGTTAAAATATATTTTTGAGTAATTCTGGGATGTTAGCAACAGCTTTCATCCCTGTGAGCTAGATTTGAATAAATCTTGCTGTGCTTTTCGCTAAATGACAGAACTCCTCGCCCTGTCCTACAAATACGATTACCACCCACACGAAGCTCAGTAACCACCTCTGCCTGCAAAGTGCCAGCTGAAGCAGAACAGCACGTGTCAGCTTCTGCATTCTCTCTTCTAATGCAATAGTTACTATGTGGGTTAGAAAAACAGGTGAACAGCTGCTGGCGCTTGGTGAAGTCAATCCACAGGTGTCTGGCTATTTGACGGAAACACAGTCTCCATTTAAGGAGTTACGTTTTTTCTTTCTAGGCTAGGTCGCAGCTGTTTGGGATCTCAAGAACCGTTTGTATCTGGATTTCCAGTGCTACTTCAAATTCATTTCTGGTATCAAAGCAACAGCAGTGCTCCACTATGAGTCCCATTGAAATGTCAAAGCCCTCATGGTAAGCTGATCCTGTAAAATATTAGATGTCAACTCCTGACATGACTGGTTTCAAATGAAGAGCAAAACCATTTTCTTTTTGTTGAATTTGCCCGAGATTCAGGAAAACGGAGATGCAATCTTTTTTAAGTTTAAGAAATCATTCTGTTTTACAGTGTTGCTTGCCATAATCCCAGTCTACAGCACCTTACAGCACGTTTGGCAGTAGTATGGGGGCACACCTTCACCATTTGTGTCCACTGGCCTGAGGCAGAGCAGGTCATATTATCATATCAAAGGAATTCACTGATGCCGCGTGTCAGGGAAAAGAAAATGAATTATGTATGGCTTGAAATAAAGAATTCTCTTTTCACTTCAATGACAGATGCAGATACTATTCCTCAGCAGTAATCTTACCAGTTCTTTGCTTTGCAAGACCATTATAATTGTTTTTTTCACATAGCCTGTATATGTGTAAACATAGCACTGTAATGTTACAGCAGGCCAGCGCATGTGAGTCCTGTAATCAGCTTCTCTTCTTAAAATTAATACTGTAAATCATAAAGCCTAATGTTTCAATAAAGTGTGAATAAAGTTATTCCAATCACCAGTGAAGCTGAAATTATCATCATTTTAATGTGTTAGCTTCCCTGTAGAGATATATTGAATGGATGTGGAATGCACTAGCAAGCAGCAGGCTTTAGGTTTAGAAAAGAAGGCCTTTATAGTGGATTTCTGTGCCTGTGTGATTCTTCGGGAAACTATAGCAGTACAATGCAGAATTTGACAGTAAGCAAAAGTAATTTACTTAAAGCCACACATTTCTGTTCACCTTAATGTTTATTACAGTTAAATTCTGTGGTGGTGTCAGTACCATTCATTTTGATTCACCAAAGCTGGTGTGCATTAAAAATATCATTCCTATTCAAACATCTCCCATGCCATTTCTAATTATTTCTTCGTAATCATTTTTGATTGCTGGACTGTGCCCTTTCTTTTGATTTGGTTTTCGTAGCAGAAATGGTGCTAAAGCCAGACTTCTTTCAGAGAATTGTGGACACTTTCCAGAACACCTCTCAAATAGGAATAATTTGAGCTGCTGCCTTTCACATTTCTGCACAAATATTTTCCATCAGCTCAGAAACTCTCATGTCTGAACTCTTCGTAAGTCCAGGAACACAGAACGAGCCCTTGTGAACACAAGTGTGACCTGATGTTTCAGGACCTTCCGGAACTGCCAAGGGTCACATGAACTTTTGTCCTTAGCATCAATCTTCTGAACATCTGCTCGAACGCGCAGCTCTCTCAGATGGAGACTGAGCTCTCGGAAGGCAAGGCTGCCTGGCGTAGCTCACATTTCCATTTTTGACTGCAGCGCCAGTTGTTGTCCCGAAATAAACACCATTCCACAGCCTTATATGTCCAACAGGTTCTGTGACTGATTGTGGAGGGAATCACGCATCTGAGCTGCACGGCACAGCTCACAGACCCTGCTATTGCACTGTAATAGCAAGCTGTCTGCCAAAGTCTAGGGGGTCTGCTTCCATTAGCAATGCACATTACAGAGCTAAACAGGGAGTGCCTTCTCCATTTATTCTCCTTCTTGGACAAGGAAAGCCGCAGAAGCATTTCTCTGACCTGCCTCCTCCTCAGGGAAGTGTTCCTTGACGCGGCCCTCTGGCCTGTGCTAAGCTTTCACTCTCCCTGCGAGCTGAAGAGGGATAACTTTGTGCTCGGGTCGTCTCTGAGGTATCTCTCTGTCTGCTGGCATTCCAGCAGGGTCAAAGTGTGCAACATTGAGGACTGGATGAAAACCATGTTCCAGAAGGATATCTGCAGAAAGCACGAGACCCTCGTCAGCGATTTCTTATCCAAGGTTTGTAACAGGTGAGTGTCCCCCCCCCCGTATTCTTATTGCTCCCTTGTTGGAGTGAGTTTTTTTCACATTTAGATGTTTTGCAGAGTGCAATCTTGACAGGGCATTGATTAACGTGTTCAGCTGCATTATTGCAAAATAGGAAACAAACGTGCGAGTCATCATTCTAAATAAAAAGTCACATCACACACAGGAAAAGTATTTCAAAATGTTTGCTTTCTTTTGCTTGAAAGTAGAACCCTGTGGAGCTGTGTTTGTAGATGTACAATGTGTAATATTGTGTTCACTCAGGACAACAACACCCAAGGATTGAAAGCTTTGTGAATGCTTGGATTACTTGGTCAGACAAATGTGGCGTAACTAGTGGGGTTAATGGCCTCTTGACCACAGGATGAGGAGGTTTGAACCCCATTCAGACTAAGTGAAACCAGGGGCAGCTGGAAGGTGGTGTTGGGGAAGAGGAGGGATGCTGGAGACAAATGTGAAGGGAGGTGTCTGAGTTCAGTTTATGTAGCTCCTCTAGTTTGGTGATGACAGTGAAAAGGTGCAGCTGTGTGAGATGGATTTGTTGCTGTTATCCCTCCTGAACGTCACTTTATAACGTCCACTTCATGGGCAGAACACCAGGAAGCTTGTGTGGAATTCAAGAGTTTCAGCGTCTACTTCTTTCTTTATTCCATTTCTCGGTTCTTCTTCAGCTGAAGCACGGATTGCTACAGTTCTGAAATGTAAAACAACCCTCAAAAGAAAACAAAACCAATGATAAAATCCACCAAATCAAAAGTCGCATATCCTGCATTGCTGGAATACCAGTTAGGTGGCGTTTGTACTAATTTAGACAGATTAAATGCTGTGTGTAAATACTGTACAGAGTCGGAGAGTTTTGTAAACAGACACTAATGTTTGTGGTAGAAGACATTGAAAAGAAAGTGTAAAGACTTATTTTACATGGAAGTCTTGTATTTAACCATTATACTTGTCGGTTGTCTACAATCACGTTAAAAGTTTGCCTTCCTGGAAGTAACCAAATGTAATTTGTAGAATATGACCACAGTGCTATTTTTGCCCTCGCTCTAGAAGAGGTTATTTAGTGTCAAGCAAGCAGCACCTGTCCTGGAATAACTACTGTATGAACTCTCCCACTCACCGCCAGTAGACACTTAAGTGATATGTCTGTCCTCACGTAACTGGGTGAAACATGAAATTACCGCCACTCCCTTTTCTACAGAGAGCTGTAGTTTGTCTTTCTCCATTCCAGGAAAGGCCGTGCAGTTTTAAATATGATTTCAAGCTAAGTAGGTTGTCGTCTTTTTTCGGGGAGGATGGTTAAGGGTGTTAATTATTTTCAGTATAAACGTATCCACTTCATTGTTAAAATAAATGTGATAATATATCTTAATTTAAATTCGTTATTTTTAGCGCTTACATGAATGTATTTTTTTTTAATCTAAAGGCTGTTCCCTAAAATCGTTTTGAAAACGAAACGTTCATTTCTGTCATCACAGGTCAATGAATCTACAAGGCTGGGTTTGACATTCAGTACGGGTGCTAAGGTGATACCGTAAAGCAACATTAAGCGCTTTTTTCGTCTTAAAACACGTAACTTGAACCACATATTTCCCTGATCTGCATGGAAATCTAAAAGCTGCAGAGGAAAAGACGGGATGTTCAGAATTCTGTTAGGTTGGAATGGAGGCACATTACTGCAATATCCGGTGCACGCCAAAAATGTCAATCTTACTGGGAGGGATATCATTTTTTGGGGAAAAAAATCACAATTTACATATTATAGAAATCTGGAGGGTGTAATTAATCACTTCTGTATTACTGTTGGTTAACCAACACTTTCATGTTATGGGTAATGCATTGCTTTTTTTGTTTTATTTAATCGTTCCCATTGGACACCCTTGTGAATCTCAGGGGCACATTCTTCAGAATCTACACACTGGTGTAACATCCGTTTCTTCTAAAGACTGGTCTTGCCCTCTTTCAGTGCAGTGAGTGAAAGGGGGATGTGTCAGCGGTAATGGGAGTTTAAAAGTGTCTGGCCTCTTTCCTTGTTCACTTCATGCACAGGAGGAGTACCATGGAGTCTGTTTAAAGAATGGATCCGATTCTACATTCTTACCACATTCCGCTCGAATATGTGCGAGTCGCATGTGGTAAAGTATTAAGATTACATAACCTTTTCATGTAATCCGAAGCAGTAAGGCTGAGTGACATTTTGTAGTTGCTGTTGTTAGCTGGGGTGTGTTAAACCTACACGTCCCTAGTACTGCTAGAAAAATTCCGCCACCAGGTAGCGGTATTGACATTTTGAGTTGAATGTTTAATAACCATAAAGGTGTACTTCCATTTATTAATAATAAGTTGGGTTGACGCTTTTTAACCAAGGTGACTTTCGTCTGCAGTTGTTTATACAACAGGACTTTTTGGATGAGTAAACTAAATGAGGTAACACTTAAGGGTACATCAGGCGAAGCCTTACCTGTGACATGAAGCCGCAAGCTTATAATTACACGGTTAGCGCCCTAAACACTACTCCGATATAATGGCGCTGTGGCACATACTTTTATTGCTTCACAAATTTACGTATGTTGTATATAGTCTATAACATGGACATAAAATAACGGAGAATTAAATTTAAAAATAAGTTCAGGACGAATAACAGCATCCAAGAATCCGATGCTTTGTGAATGTCTTGCGTATTGTAACGCATACGGCCGGCATCGCAGGTTGTGCGAGCCGGCTTACCAGCGCGGTGACGTCACCGCCATTCCCTTTAAACAGCAGGGACCGCAGCTGACGGAAGATTTCCCTTTGGCTCAAGAGGCTGGGTCCCTGTTGAGTGACCCCGGAGGCCCGGGTTTGAGCCCCCAGCGGTGACCTTGAGGGTGTATACCCACATGAACCTGAGAGTGCTACAGTATTTTTGGTGTGAGTCCTCGTTTGATTATGGGCCAGCTCCCTGGCCATACAGTTGGTCGAGGAGGTTCAATCAAAGCGGAGCTGCAGAGGAGGAAGAGGAGGAATGCAGGAAAAGACATGCGAAAAAGAGGTGTGATATATACTTTATATAGCTAACGTCGGTGAACGCTATGATTTTGGACAGGTGAGTGAAATTGGCTTCGGTGAAGACCTTCCATCCCATTTCGGTTTTCAACAGAGCTGTCGCAAAGACATATCTGCGCGTTTGGGGTGTCTTGAATGCGCAGTTGTCCGTGCGACGTCGAAACAGCTGGCACGGTTTAATTTCAGCCGCGACGCAGATTGGTGTGTTGGCTTGACGCTGTGGACATGTTTCCTCAGGTGCCCCAATCTCCTGTCTTTGACGCTCTCCGGCTGTGGACATATCACTGACCGGGATGTCGCTCGCGTCCTGCAGAGCTGCGCAGGGCTGCGCTGCCTGCGACTGGAGAACTGCGTGCGGGTCACGGACGAGGCCCTGCGGGCCGTGGTCGCCTACGGACACAGTCTGCAAACCGTCCAGGTAGACTTTTGCCGCAACGTGACCCGTGCGGGACTGCAGCGGATACAAGACAGGCGCCCTTCCATCCATCTGAGTGCGGAGAGGAGTGCGGACATGATTCCCGACATCAAGCAGGAGGAAAAAGTACCGTTCGGACGAACGCTGCAAAAATTACTCCAGTATTCCTGAAACTAGTGTTTTGTTATTATGGATCCCAAAGGACAGCGATAAAATATTCTAAGCCTGTCTTTGGTCATTATGAATGTTCCTTTCTCTCACTCCCGAGGTATGGGCCTAAAGAGTAGTAGTTACTGTAATTAAGTGTCATTCAATTAAAGACAACACGTTTTTCTTGATTTCTAATCTCACATTCCTCTTTTGAATTTAAATGTTTTTTTTTATATTTAATTCTTTGAGTGTTGTGTCTTGCTCTTTCTAATGATATGATCTCAGGGAGGTTGTGTTATGAATTATGGCCCATACTAGTGTTTCAGATTTCTGTTTGTGTCCGTGGTATCTTGTCATTTATATGAATTTAAATTAAAAATCAGGACAATAAACTTTTGTTTCAGTGTTGTACATACAAAGGCAATAACAATAAAACCAAAGTGCTTAATTATTCAAATATAGCACAAATGTTTAAAACGGTGTTCAATCTTGTGCAAAACTTGTGTCCAGAACTCTACAGATAGACTTTTCACACCAGCCCTTTGAAACACATCACTCCTATACTCAAGTCTTTACATCTGTTGCCTATTAAGTCATGTATTCAATATACTGTAATATTGTAATATTTTGTTACTGACTTTTAAGGCTTTGAAAATTCAGGCTCCATCATTACACTCTCATGGAACTCCCTTCCTCCGACTCCACCAGAGACAAATTCACTCCCTTCAAATCCCTGTGGGGTGGCTCTTCCTTCTATCTGTATGAACCCGTATTTTCTTGTTGAATGTTTTTCTTTTAATTGAATTTTTGTGTCCTTTCTTGATCACTATATACACCTTGAGTTTGGAAAGGCGCTTCATAAAAGGTTATTATTATTATTATTATTATTATTATTATTGTTGTTGTTGTTGTTATTGAGGAAAAAACTGAGCTGTCGTACGGCGATAATATCAAGCCCTAATACCTGTTTGAGCTTTATGATGTTTTCAACGTATTGTTTTTTGCGAAATAGCCTGCAAGCACAATTTAAGTGGTACATCACCCGGGGAATAAGGACGACCGTTCTCGTCATCACAAGATGGTGGACGATGTGACCTGAAAGTGTTCCGAGAAGATGTCACCGAGAATCCTCTACGCAACCATGTGGCAACTGTTCACTTTGACTTTAAAGACTTTAAATGACGTCATACACCCGGATTACATAATCCTGTTCAACGTCGACGGGTGCAGGTCCTGCCGCGGCGGTAGTAGTTGCGTGTGTCTTATCACTTGCACTGCTGTTTATCTCTGGAGAGAGGAATTAGGTGCTGTTCTCCTACAGGCTTTACGGTAAGCAAGGACCCAATGTCAGTCAGCAAACAGGGTTTCCCTGAGGACGTGCTGGCTCTATGCCAGAGTTGTGAATAGAAACACTTTATGTAAGAGAGCGCTGGGAATATGGAAACAGGCTGGAGAGGAGCTGTGCAGTCCATGTGACTATTCTATATTTGCTGTTTTGCACTAGGCGGCTCACGCAAAGTGAACGGATTTGCTGGAGGCTTCTGTTGGTCGCGTACAACAACAAAAAAAAAAGAAAGAACAGCGGTACAAAAACGCTGTACCACGAGTTACAAGGGAAGCAGGACTACGCGTCTCCTTGTTTGGCTTTGTTCAGCGTCGGCGTCAAAAGTCACATGTTTAGATCAGAATTGTATTTTTAAAGTAGGGTGCCACGTGTAGGGGATTGCTGTTACAGTATCATGCCATGTTTTCTCGATATAATAACTCCTCTTCTTTCGTACTGTGCTATTGTATTGAATCTGTACCGCAATCTAAAGAGAAAGGGGGCAAACCCAACTTGTTTGGGACATTTCACAAATGAATAAAGAATCTATTCTTGGGACACTTAGCTTTTATTTAATGACCTCTTTACCGTACGTCAACACTTACCGTCAATGTTAGCACACCGCATTGTTAATTTACATATGGCATGCCACAATTGTTCCGTCTTATGTGTATTTTTTTCCGTTTATTAATTTACAAGTTTCAACTTGCATAGTGCAATTATATCTCTGCAAAATAAGTGGAGTAAGGTACGTGTACCATGTAATGGCTGCGATAATGAAGTCAGAATTTTTAGATGTTGTTGACTTTTGAGTTGACCGTATGCTATAGGAGTACAGGAGGTTGGCGTGAATCCCCAAAGTTCAGAAAATAAAAAAAATAGTCTATGGATGTATAACTCAATTAATGATTAACCAAATGATTGAGATGCTACATTCTGTACAAATCTTCAACATTCCAACGATAAAAATAAGAACATTTTTGGCAAATTTCTGAAGTGAACACAGCTTTATAATATTTATGTTATATGGTGAAAATGTGAGGTTAATACTTGACAAAACAGACTGAAGCAATAAGGGATTCGTTTAAGAGATCTTAAAGAAATATGCGCTATATACCCAGTCTGGGTGTAACCCACTGATATTAGAATGTTTACAGCATCACATACCCTCTTATTTGGATCATATTTTGATTTTAGTTTGACAGAATCTCAGTATGCCAAGTGGATGAATGTTCTTGGAGGATTCAGCCTTAAATAGAGACCTCTATCAGTATATGAAGGCTGTACTAACTCAGGGGGATTTCTGTTGAACATCATGTGAAATCGATTCCATGTCAGGAGTATCTTGTTAAAACTGAGAATTGCAAAGAGTTTAATATGCATTGCTTCTTAATTTAAAGTGACATTGTAGTTTTAGTGTGATGTACACCTAAGATTATTCCATTCAAATAATACATTTTCTCCATTTAAGTGACCTAATTCTCACTTAAATGGTGTTTCGAGTTTCTATAAGGGCTTTACATTAAGCATAATAGCAGTGACATCAGTGAAACTCTAATGCCTGTGTTGGACAAACCAAATCTAAAATGTTAAGCATCACATAAATCATAATATAGTTGCTCTTTGGCATTCTATTGATGAATCTTTTTTTTTGTATCTACTGAATGATGTTTATTATCATTTGTAATTTTCAGACAAATTTTCTGGACAATAAGAAGATTGTTTTTAGTTCAAGTTTTTATATATATATATTTAATTTTAAGTGATTGAAGATTGTAACCATTTTTGATTCTTAAAATAATTTTCTTTAAATACTGTACAACAAGAAGTGAGTCCTGCAGTACTTAAGTGTTATGTAGTTTCTCACTAAATACAAAAGACATGTGCAGTTCTCTGTTTAAAGAGTTAACTATGAATCTCAGGGGACGTGTGAAGGTTAAACTAGTTCAAGGCTTTCCCCTTACTACTCAATGATAAAATACATGAACTCATTTCTTTTTAAATCTCTCCATTCATTTGCGGTTTTATGCCTTCCACAACTGCCCTGAACTCCTTGCCTGGATTCCAGTCCCTGTGCGTTTCCCTCTTCTCCCAGGCCTTTCTCACATTCTCTTTCACTTCTTCTTACCTGCTCCTCCTTTCTTCCATCACTCCCACACCTGAATGAAGGCGCACAGCCACAAAGTTGACTTTCTGTTTACTTTTCAGAGTGAAGTTAAACTCTGCTCATTCCAGGACATATACATTTTTTAAAGCCAAAGGAGATCTCCCTAGCTAATGTCTAATAATATAGAAGTACAATTATTTTTGTGTTTCCCCTAATGTGTCGAATTTGCACACACTTTCAGCCTGTAGATTCATTTGGAATAATTTCCTACACCATCTAAGTATCATTCTTCCTAAACAAGCAGTGTAAACATAGTGAATACGGAAAAATAATTTTGTCATTTTGGAATTCCAAGCTCTAAGCCAGTTTTCTGATCTAGAAATTTCATTTGAATACAGAAGGTCATATTGCACACGAGGGTCTATGAGTGTTGCACCATCTGAAGGTAAAATATATGACTGTAATTACTCGGTAGATAAAAAAGAAACAGGCGTAGAGGAACATGCCATCACATCTTCAAAACCTGTTTGTGAGTCTGAGATATATGAGGTTCAAGTTCTCTTACTAGTTAAAAAATAATTACTCTTGAGTAACTATTACTATTTCTATAGCTGAGAAATATTTACTCTTGAGTAACTATTGCTATTTATATCTGAGAAATATTTACTCTTGAGTAAAGTTTACTATTCCTATAGCTGAGAAATATTTACTCTTGAGTAACTATTGCTATTAGCTGAGAAATATTTACTATTGAGTAACTATTACTATTCCTATAGCTGAGAAATACTCTTGAGAACTATTACTATTCCTATAGGTGAGAAATATTTACTCTTGAGTTACTATGGCTATTTATTGATGAGAAATATTTACTCTTGAGTTACTATTACTATTCCTATAGCTGAGAAATATTTACTCTTGAGTAACTATGGCTATTTATTGATGAGAAATGTTAACTCTTGAGTAACTATTACTATTCCTATAGCTAAATAAGTTATTGATAAACTCAAGCTGGGTATTTATTTTTGCAGGAGTTTCTTTTTCTTTTCAGTTACCAAGAAAGGATGGCTGTATTTCAGCCCAGATCAATAACAAGGGTTTGTAGCTTCAGGGCACGCAGAGAGAAGAAATAATTGACACTTCTGAGAAGGCCTGTATTTCTAATTGCGAGAGGACCTTTGGAGTAAAAACAGCACTGATTTTGATTTTGATGAAACATTACAAGCAAGATTTTAATTAATTCTGTTTTTGTTTTTCTTTGAATCCATAAGACCTGTAAGGGAGCCCAGGGGTGATAGAAAGCCAAACAACAGAGAAGGTTGCATTAATTGCTTGAACAACTTTCATTAGATGTAACACACCTGTTTTTAAGACCTGTCTTGGTAGTTTGGGCCAGTTGTATTTCTTTTCATAACATTATTGCATGTCTTTCAAGGGAATAGCGCGCCTGGGAATAGTCTTTTATTACGTAATATCTTGGGTTGCATGCACAGACAGGAAACTGCACAGTTAACTCACAGTTACGTGAGAACAGATGAAAGTTTATGAACACAAGAGAGGGTTTCTTGGCAAGCCACAGGCACAAGGCAGGGTATACCCTGGACAGGTTGCCAGTCCATTTCAGGACACACAGTACCACGCACACACTCACACCAAGGCAAATATCCCCAGAGGCCAATTAACCTACCAGCTTGTCTTTGGACTGTGGGAGGAAACCCATGAGAACACGAGGAGAACATATAGTCTCCACGCAGACAGTACCCCAGGTCCAGAATTGACCCGGGGACCCCAGTGCTGCAAGGCAGCAGTACTCATCAATGCCACATTGTCACCCTTGTTTAAACGTGAAGATTTCCAATTTCTGATCATGCATAAGCCATCCATCTTAGATTATATGAAAATCTGACATTGTACGGGACATATGAGTAAAAACTCCTTTTGTGCCATACCACTAAAAGGTCAGCCCTGCACTGTGCAACATTCCTAACTTCATAAATATTTAGCAAATATGAAATCTTTTAAGGCTCCATACGGGGAGCACTGAAGAAGGAG